ATGGAAGAGTGGGGCTGTCACTGCCGTGGAGTCAGAGAAAGGAGGAAATTTGGTGTGTGACTGCACTGCTGTCACAGCGAGTGGAACTTTTGTCCTATCATTTCTGTGGTGGAAGAGATGAAGAAATAGGTGCTGTCACTGCTGTTGTGGTGTGAGGGAGAAGAGGAAATTTGGGCCTGTCATTCATTGCTGTGGTGTCACAGAGAGGAGCACGTTGGAGCTCACGCTGCTATGATGTCACAGATATGGTAACACTGGCTCTGATATGCCTTGGCAATGGAAAGCTCTGAGCTCCGCGATTTCTCTAGTGAAGTAGCCTTGGAAAGGGCTGGGCCAAAGCTCGTGTGTGCGACTTTGGTGAAGGGAGCCAGCAAGAGGTAATCTGTGGAACATGGGAAAACCCGGGATATTTATAGGGGAGGAGAGGGGTGGGGGGAGTCCGAGATACATGTATCAGGGTGGGACAGCGGAGGGGAACACCAATGGAGCACAAGGGTTTGACATAACTAACTCAAAGACCCCTCGGAGTGATAGTTTGTCTCTCTCTGAGTGATAGGTTCTTTGCCTCCAGGGGAGAGCCAGGGATCGCAGAGACAGCGGGTTCCTCAGCCCCCACAACTTCCCCTTCTTTACTTATGAAAAGGGTATCTTCCAGAGATTTGGCTAATAACTTGACATATGGAAACCTACATAGGAAAATAATACTCAAGAAAACTTAAAAATGTTTTTCAGGAGGGAGGCAACCTATCTTTTGGGTCCTTAGCTCCCCAAAAGGTCCTCAAGCCACTGGGGCTTCTCTTCAGTCTGGAGTTCCTGGACCACGTGTTGGAGTCTTAGGATGCGGGTGTGGATGCTTTCACTGGGGCTGGAGTGGTCAAAGCAGCACAGTCAGTTAATTTTCTCGCAGCCGTGTCCATGGGCCAGGAGCAAAAGGTCTAGAGGGTTGGTGGCACTGCCCATGGACAAGCACACGTGGTCTTGTTTGAGAGTCTTTGCGAGGGTGATCCACACGTTCTCCTGGGGCTGTGCTACTAGCCAGGCCTCCACAGCTGATGTTTTCAGGAGTATGCAGATAATCAGGAACATCAGGAACTCAAGGATGGTTTTGTTCTCCATTTTCTATAACAAGACATAAAAGATTAGTTCTGATTTTTGGAGGGGGGGGAGCTATTTTCCTTTTCACTTTCCTGTCCCGTCTCCCCCCTCTTTAAAAAAAAACCACAATTATAAGCAGGGTTATTTTGTGTATTGGGGACACATGACCAGCAGCAGCACAGAGGTGCATTTTGGTGTAAACTGGCAATTTGGGCTAGGCAACGAGGGCGAGAAGGGGAAGGGGGAGGGAGTTAAGAAGACTTGTGTACTGTCACGGTGTCAGGCGTGATGTTGGCAGTCGTCTCGTTGCGGCCCTGGTAGCAGGACGGTTTGGCCTCTGTCTGGTTGTTGGTCTGGTGGCAGGTCGGTTTGGTGGACTCCAACGACGTCTCCATTTCCAGGCTGCAGTGGGCTGCTGTTTTTCTGGACCTCAGGTGTGGGTCTCAGGAGACTTTGAAATTTCTGAGTCTGGTGCAGGGTTTGTAGGCCCTAAATAAGGTTTCACATTTTTCCCTGGGAGCCACTTAGGTCCTGATAGTGTGGACACACACGTGTACCCTCTACCCCAGGTAATCAACGGGAAAGGTCCTGTTGTCCGTTGTGATTCAGGATCATTGATCAGCACTGGTGGCTTCTGCATGAGTTTGGCATGAGTTGAATTAGAGAAGTGCCGTATTACAGGGGGGTCAGGCTCTGTAGATGAGCAATTTAGAGAGTTCATGACATATAGAGCCTTACAGAGCCTCTCAATGAGAGGAATGATCTCTGTTCCTCCCTGCTGGTGATCAAGGACTCTTTTCAGGTTTTGGTGGGTCCTCTCTACTATTGATTGTCCTGTAGGGGAATGAGGAATGCCCGTGGTGTGTTTCACCCCCCACTCATTGAAAAAGTCTCTTAATTTGTGAGAGGTGTAAGCAGGTCCATTGTCTGTTTTAATTTGTTCTGGGACTCCCAGGGTAGCAAAAGCAAGGAGAAAATGTCGGATGGCGTGCTTGGCATTTTCTCTTGCATGGGCTGAGGCAAACACTGCACCAGAGAAGGTGTCTACGGAGACGTGTACGTATTTGACTCTCCCGAAGGACGGGACGTGAGTGACATCTGTTTGCCATATCTGGCAGCTGTTAAGTCTTTGGGGGTTAACCCTGGAATTAACGACCGGTATTTGGAAAGATTGACAATTAGGACAGGTGGCAACTATTGCTCTAGCCTGGTCTCTGGGTAGTCTGAACATTCTCATCAATGCAGGCACGTTCTGGTGGAAGAACTGGTGGGACAATTTCAGCAATGGCACCTGGGAGGTCAGAATGTACCCTCACATGCATGACATAGTAAGGTTGCTTTCTGCGGGAGAAAAGATACACTAATTCAGAAAGCAATTTGTATAAATTTGGGTTAGGGACCTCTTTTAGAAATGCATGTTCTGCTCTCATAGCTATTCCAGCCACATAAGCCGAATCAGTCACCAGATTGAAAGGTTCTTGGAATTTCTCAAAAGCTCTGATGAAGGCTGCTAATTCAGCAATCAGTGGTGATCCCTCGACCACTTGGACATCAGACTCCCATTTCTGTGTCCTGGGGTCTTTCCAAGTCATGACTGACTTGTGGGATTTCCCCGAGCCATCGGTGAAAACCGTCAGGGCCTGGAGCGGTGTTTTGCTCTGTAATGATTTGGGGACCAAATGAAATGTAGTTTTGAAAAGTCTGTGGCCAGGTGGACATATAGAAATTTGGCCTGAATAGCTATCGAGAGTGAACTGAAGGCTCTCATTGGTTTGGAGCAAAGGCTCCAAACTTCCAGTTGCCAATGGGAGGAAGATGCATGCGAACTCACAGGCTGCAAGAATGCGGAGACGGACTCTAGTTCTTTTAATGAGTTCAGCCATGATTTCCTGCGGAGTGGTAATAGTCTTAGTAGGCTGGTTATGTGTAAAAATCCACTTGATGATAAGGAGTGGATTCTTCAGTGCCATGTCCCATTGAAATATGAGTGTGTGTAAGTGTGGGGCCGTACCCAGGATTGAAGCAATCCTCCCTTAGCCCCCAGAAGTAATCCACGCTGGCTCTGTCGAATGGAGGGGTCAGGGAGATCCTTCGAGACCAAGAAAAGACCAAAAAGTGCTGCTTCTCCCTCCGGGTATCGGAGGATGTTTATTCTGGCTAGCTTCCAGGGGGAGAAGAGACCCGGTTTCTCCTTCCCGGACTCTTTCAAACCTTGGGAGAGGGGCGGGGAGACATATAACACCAACCAATGGGATAACGTTTCAGGGACAGGTAGGAGAGGGGAAAAACACGTCACTGGGAAACAAATAACTCCCAGAAATATGCACCACCACATCTGCCCCTACTT